ATGTTTATGGAGTTTTAATGTTGTACCATCCTTGCATCCCTGGGATGAATCCCACTTGATCGTGATATATGATTATCTTGATGCATTTTTTAATTCAGTTTGCTAATATTTTGTTGAGTATTTTTGCATCTATGTTCATCAGGGATATTGGTCTATAGTTTTGTTTTTTCATAGGGTCTTTTCCTGGTTTTGGTATTAGAGTGATACTCGCTTCATAGAATGAGTTTGGATGTATTCCTTCCTCTTCTATTTTTTGGAAAACTTTGAGAAGAATGGGTATAATGTCTTCTCTAAATGTCTGATAAAATTCAGTGGTGAATCTATCTGGTATTGCAGTTTTACTTTTGGTTATGTTTTTGATTACTGATTCAGTTTAATCGCTGGTAATTGGTCTGATCAGATTTCTGTTTGTTCCTGGGTCAGTCTTAGAAGGTTGTATTTTTCTAGAAAGTTGTCCATTTCTTCTAGGTTATCCAGTTTCTTAGAATATAATTTTTCATAATATTCTCTAATAATTCTTTGTATTTCTGTTGTGTCCATGGTGATTTTTCCATTTTCATTTCTTATTCTGTTTAGGTGTGTAGATTCTCTTTTTTTCTTGATAGTCTGGCTAGGTGTTTATCTGTTTTGTTTATTTTTCTCAAAGGACGAGGTTCTGGTTTCATTAATTTTTTCTGGTGTTTTATTTTTAATTTTATTTCATCTCTGATCTTTATTATGTCCCTACTTCTACTACCTTGGGCCTCATTTGTTCTTCTTTTTCCAGTTTCAATAATTGTGAATTTAGACTTGTTCATTTGGGATTGTTCTTCCTTTTTTAAATAGGCCTGGAATGGTATATAGTTTCCTCTTAGAACTGCCTTCCCTGGTCCGACAGATGTTGGGGTATTGTGCTGTTGTTTTCATTTGTCTCCATATATTGCTCGATCTCTGTTTTAATTTGGTCATTGATCCATTGTTTATTTAGGAGCATGTTGTCAAGTCTCCATATATTTCTGAGGCTTTTTGTTTTCTTTGTACAATTTATTTCTAGCTTTATACCTTTGTAATCTGAGAAGTTGGTTGGTACAATTTTAGTCTTTTTTAATTTGCTGAGGCTCTTTTGTGGCCTACTATGTGGTCTATTCTGGAAAATATTCCATGTGCAACTTGAGAAGGATGTGTATCCTGTTGCTCTTGAGTGGAGTGTTCTATAGATGTGTATTAGGTCCATTGGTTCTAATGTGTTGTTCACTGCGTCTGTGTCCTTACTTAATTTCTGTCTGGTGGATCTGTCCTTTGGAGTGAGTGGTGTGTTGAAGTCTCCAAAAATGAATGCATTGCATTCTATTTCCCCCTTCAATTCTGTTAGTATTTGTTTCACATATGTAGGTGCTTCTGTGTTGGATGCATAGATATTTATAATGGTTATATCCTGTAAGAGGGCTCAGTGAGACTCAAATGTAATGTCCTTCTTTGTCTCTTGTTGCTTTCTTTGTTTTCAATTGTATTTTGTCCGATACAAGTACTGCAACACCTGCTTTTTTCTCCCTATTGTTTGCATGAAATATCTTTTTCCATCCTTTCACTTTGTGTCTGTGTATGTCTTTGCATTTGAGGTGAGTCTCTTGTTGGCAGCATACAGATGCATCTTGCTTTTTTCATCCATTCTGTAACTCTGTGTCTTTTGATCGGTACATTTAGTCCATTTACATTTAGGGTGATTTTCAGTAGATATGTACTTATTGCCATTGCAGGCTTTGGATTCATGGTTACCAAAGGTTCAAAGGCAGCTTCTTTTCTATCTAGCATTCTACCTTAACTCACTTATTATGCATTATAAGCCCAGTCTGATTCTTTTTCTCTCCCTTCTTTTTCTTCCTCCTCCACTCTATATATTAGGTGTCATATTCTGTACTCTTTGTGTATCCCTTGACTGACTTTGTGAGTAGCTGATTTAATTTTGCATTTGGTTAATATTTAATTGGTCTACATCCTTTGCTTTGGTTTTATTTTCTCTGGTGACAGCTGTTAGTCTTAGGCACACTTCCATCTAGAGCAGTCCCTTTATATTACACTGTAGAGATGGTTTGTGGGAGGTAAATTCCCTAACGTTTCGTATCTGGGAGTTGTTTAATCCTTCCTTCAAATTTAAATGATAATCCCTGGTAGAGTATTCTTGGTTCTAGGCCCTTATGTTTCATTGCATTGCATATATCATGCCACTCCTTTCTAGCTTATAAGGTTTCTGCCAGGAAGTCTGATGATAGCCTGATGGGTTTTCCTTTGTAGGTGATCTTTTTGCTCTTTCTAACTGGTTTTAATACACTGTCCTTGTCTTTGATGTTTGCAATTTTAATTATTATTTGTCTTGGTGTTGTCTTCCTTGGGTTCCTTGTGTTGGGAGATCTGTGGACTTCCATGGCCTAAAAGACTATTTCTTTCCCCAGATTGGGGAAGCTTTCAGCAAATACTTCCTCAAAGACACTTTCTCTCTCTTCTTCTTCTGGTAACTCTATAATGTGAATATTGTTCTGGTTGGATTGGTCACACAGTTCTCTCAATATTCTTTAATTCCTAGAGATCCCTTTTTCTCTCTCTCTGCTTCGGCTTCTCTGTATTCCTGTTCTCTGATTTCTATTCCATTCACTGCCTCCTCTACCTCACCTAATCTGCTTTTAAATCCCTCCATTCTTTCATTTCAGTTATCTCCCTCCTGAATTCATTTCTTAGCTCTTGAATATTTTTCTGTATCTTCATTAGCATGCTCATGTCTTTTATTTTGAATTACTTCTCAGAAAATGGGTCATTTGAGTCTCACTGAGCCCTCTTTCTGGTGTTTGAGGGATTTTGGATTGAAGAAGGTTATTCTGCTTTCTCATAGTCCTGGAGCTATGGGAGTGGTTGCAGGAGAGTGTTGTGGTTTCAGCTAGGAGGACAAAGTCCCTTCCTGCTTGCCGGTCACCATGCCTGTCTCTGCTGTATGTGCCGGTTAACCATGCGCACAGAGTGGCCTCTGGGTTAATCCCCTAAAGTGCCATGGGTGGGATGGCCTAAGGCAATGGTGGGTGTCACAGACCAGTGGTGCAGGTTCTGTCATGAAAAGAAAACCCCTTCATGGTTCCCAGTCTCAGCGCCCATCTCCGCTGTCTATGCTGGTCAAGCTCATGGAGCAGCCTCTTATTCTGGCCTGGTTAGCGGCATGCAGGGAGAAGCCTCTGCATTAAGCTGTGTAGTTGCTGTAGGCGGGGCTGCCCTCTGGCTAGTCTGCAGCAATGGCAGGGACAGCTGATTTGCACACAGGTGCTGGCTGGGAGGAAGTTGCAGCAGACTGCTTATCGCGGTGAGGGTTCCTGGGGGCTGCATTGCTAAACAGGGGGATAGCGCACCTGAAGCTCCTGAAAGTTCCCAGCATGCTGGTCTGAGTGTTCCAGGACGATTTTGTCCACCCGTTTCTTCTCCCAAACCCTTGTTCCCCTAGCAGCCGTGTGACTGTTGAGAGGTACGTTAAAGTGCCTGCTTGTCTTTTTTCGCTGGGCAGCTGGTGGTGGGAAACCATTCGCAGTCTTGTCTCAGACTCTGCCTTTTAGCCCCTCCAGTCTCCAGAGCACCATATAATGTGGGTCCATGCCCCCAGGGTAGATTTGTAGGGCTGGGTATTTAGCGGTCCTGTGCTTCCACTCCCTCCCTGCTCTGATTCTTTTGCTCCCACCGGTGAGCTAAACTGGGGGGTGTTTGGGTCCCGCCAGGTCACGGCTTTTTACTTTACCCTTTTCCGTGAGATGTTGACTTCTCCCAGATATAGACTGGCTGGTGTACTATTACTTCTGGTCACTCCTTTAGGAACAGTTGTATTTGCTATATTTTCAAAATATATGTGGTTTTGGGAGGAGATTTCTGCCACCCTACTCATGCTCCCATCTTTTTCTCTCTCTCTCTTCAAACTTTTTTTTTTAGTGGCTGATAGCTCTGTATTAGCCACAAGGTGCCATTGTGGTTCATCTTGGTTTATTGTCAAGGTCAGAACGTTTTTCAGGCTGTCTTCCAGTTTTCCCACATGGAGTTTATGCCCATGAAGTTTTTACGTGGGGTTCCTGAGCTGATAGGACTTAAAATTAACTTACTCTTCCTTCTTACCTCATGGTAGGGATGTCCATGTGTTACATTGGTTGGACCAATTCCAAGGGGCTTTTCTTTTTCTTTAAGGCATTTTAGAAATGAGATAATTTAAGTAATATCCTCTAAGGGCAAAAAACTTTATGCTGATTTCAAGTGGTATTACAAAGGTATTTTAAGAAGTCATAGCCACTTACTTTAAAAATTCCTGTCTGGTAGGTTAGTTTAGAAAAAAACAGAAAAAGAGCAATTGGGCACCTACACATTTTTATTTTAAATTTGCTCATCAAAATATGGAATTAGCCAAATATACTTAATACCTTAGCTATTTCTATTTTATGTTTCCAGTAACAAATTACATTCAATATTTTCAAACATTTATTTTATGATAACTGGTGAAATAGAAGAGTGCACTTGTCATCCAGAAAGTGGAATATAAAATATAAAATGTTCACTCTTGTTTAAATCAAGTGCTTCTCACAGTCTCTTTTTCTTATAAAGAGGTATGTGTATGATGAGGATTAAAACAATCCCTGGTGATCTGGCCATGTCTTCTGTGTGCAAGCAGGTGCCATGAAGATCACATGGACAACCTAGAAAGTAGATACTTGGTAGAGGATCAAAACCACCACAGACTAAGTTCAGCTAATCTGCCACAAAATATTCTTTTTCTAGTTGAAACATTTTAGAGAAATCAGCCAAATAGGTTTGTAGAAAATATCCAAAGGACTTATGCTAGGTTTAATTTCTTTTTATAAACAAAAATTAGGAGATATTTAAGATTTTAAATATTTTATCTTTTTTTTTAAGGTAATGTAATTGTGTCATAATTAACTTAAAGCCATGCCATTATCAGTTTTTGTTTTGTTTGTTGTTTTCCTAGCACTAACCTTTAATTATTTCAGATTTACAGCCTTATAAATATGCAGGATACCCCATGCTAATTAGGACTATAACAATGGAAACTTCAGATGACCTCCTTTTCTCAAAAGAATCACCACTGTTACCTGCTGCTGCAGAGCTGGCTTTCCATACAGTCAACTGTTCAGCCCTCAATGCTGAAGAACTCAGAAGGGAGAATGGAATTGAGGTAATACGGACTGACCTTTGTATTTATCTTCAAGCTTGTTTAGGCACATTGTGTGACTCTTGGCAATAGAGAATTCACCCACTATAGACAGAGTTGATATAGTTTCCTACTTTATTCCAACAAATAACATAATGTTATATTCTCTATATTCTAGTACCAGAATTAAAGGTGGAAATGGAACTTTATTTCATAATGTGAATTGGAGAGTATTGGATTCAAAATTGGTAAACTTAATACTGCCTCCAAAGTAGCTTATTGGGAATAGTTGAAAAGAAACTTCAAGGAGTCCTTTGTTTACCTGTTTCTTTAACAAATGTTAGTTGAGTAAACATGTATTATGAAGTATCTAGCATTAAAAGGTTATTAATACTTTATTCCTACCAGAAAGGCTTTTCAGACTTCAAGTCAGAATAAACAGTTCATGGCCGACTTCTTTCTCTGCAGGTTTTACAAGAGGCATTTAGTCGCTGTGTCGCTGTCTTGAGTCGTTCTAGTAAACAAAGTGACATGTCAGTACAGGTGAGGCTAAAATGTATGGTTCCAAGAAAGTTACACTAGACCAGTAGCTCATTCGTTAACAGTTCTGAGAGTCACCTGGAGGGCAGCTCTCATTGAAACATGGGTTGCAGAGCTCCACTCCCACCCACAGCCCTGCCCAGAGTGTCTGATTCAGTGGGTCTGGGGTGGGGAGCTGAGAATTTGGCTTGCTAAGAAATTCCCAGGTGATACTGATACTATTGGTCTGTGTATCACACTCCACGAACTATGCACTGAATCACTTGTGATTGGTTTAAATTTCTTTTTCTTAAAGTAGGACTAGTGTAACCTTTATATCTGTACCATCCAGTTTGAAACATTTATTTTTACCATTCTTGTTCACTTATCTTCCACCTCCTTCCCTACTTTCCTTCTCTACCTCCTTCCCCTGTCTCCAGTATTTTTTTTCAGTTTTATTGAAAAATAATTGACACAGATCACTGTATATAAGTTTAAGGCATACACTTTGATATTCTGTCTTGTATATTTGCCTCAGTAAGTTCAGCTAATAGCCATCATCTGATAGAGATAAAATAATCCATTCCTAGTATTTTTTTATTGGGTTATTTTCTACTAAGAAGAGTACTTAGTAGAAAATACTTTGATAGCAAACCCATCAGGAATTCATTGAGATCATTTATAGAATACATAAATGTTGCCCTTTTTTGGTTTATGCCAGCAAAATGTAGAAATACAGCAACTAAGTATTGGCTTCCTAGTTTCATCCTCTATTTTGAAGTTTGGTAGTATATAAACAGAATTGGAATTCTGCAGTGGTAAGGTGAACAAAAAAATACCTTAATCCAGAGGTTGGCAAACTTTTAAAATAAAGGGCCAGAGAGTAACAATCAGAGGCTTTCAGGCTACATGCAGCCTCTGTTGCGTATTTTTATTTGTGTTTTTTTTTTTTACACCTTTTTGAAAATGTAAGATCATTCTTAGCTCCCTGTCTTGCCCCACAAAAAATAGACTTCAGTCAGTTGGCCCATGTGTCATTTCACCATGGTTTGCCATCCCTGCATCTTTGGGAAATATTAACCAGATATACTAGCGAGTCGATAAATATATTCTGTTTAATTTTGGAGCATCATATTATATACTTGTGCATAATTTGGAGCATCATATTAATACTTTATATTATATATTGGTGTCATTCACAAATCTGTTCATTTGATTTCTGCAATGTTAAGGAAGGAGTTCACGTGTGACTCTTCTTTTTTGCTCTGTGTGTTGTCTGCAGGTTTGTGCACACATAAGCAAATGCTATAGTGTGGCTGCTCAGTTTGAAGAATGCCGAGAGAAGATCACAGAAATGCCTGGTATCATCAGGGATCTCTGTCGGGTGCTGTATCTTGGCAAGGTAGACTTCCATCTTTAGTGCTTTCTGGATACTGTCAGCAGTGGGTTTTCTGTTTAAGTAGCCATTCCTCAATTTATAAACAAGTTGTTTCCCTAAAATTATTTTTAAGTAAATTATTTGAATCTCTAAGCATTTTTCATAGAAGCCTTGCTGTAAATGAAGGCTTTTGTTCCTAGGCTGGCCCACAGCAAATAAGACGTTGCTAAAAGCAAGTGAGTCTCATCTGAACATTAGAAGATAGGTGGAAAAGGAAAGAGAAGACTAAATATATCTATTGAAAGTAAAGGACCATGTAAATCCTCAAACAGAATCAAGTCACTGCCTGATGGGAAAAGCTTTGGAGATCTGAGAGTTTACTGTTTCCTCCCAGTACAGTACTGCTGAGGGAAGATGACTGTGGGTAGGTGGGGGAGATGACTGGGAAGGGGGAGAGATTTCTTGGAATAATTGGGCAGGTAGTTACATTGGAATAGAACAGAATTGGATGCTGATCCTGAATTGAGGTATCCAGAAATAAGGAATCTGATGAAAATATCTCTTCAGCTATATTTACTTAATGTTCATATAAATGTTTAATAAGAGTACAAACTCTGATATAAAGAGTAAATCCATACACCTGCCCTAAATATATCATTGGTACAATTAAGGTCATTTGTGTGTGAGTTGCTCTTAATGCCTTATCATTATTTTTTTACTTTAAAATACAAGAAGTGCTCACAGAACCCAAGAATGGACTAACAGTTACCAAAGGGAAAGGGGCTGGGGAGGATGGGTGGAAGGGAGGGACAAGGGGGAAAAAGGGGCATACGATTAAAAGACAAAATGTAGGGGCTGCCCTTGGAAGGCTGTACAACACAGAGAAGACAAGTAGTGATTCTATAGCATCTTACTACGCTGATGGACAGTGACTATAATGGGGTATGTGGGGGGTACTTGGTGATGGGGGGAATCTAGTAACCATAATGTTGCTCATGTAATTGTATGTTAATGATACCAGAAGAAAAAATGAAAAAGTTACCTATATTACTGCTGGCTGCCTCTAAGGTTCTGATCCTGCTGAAGCACAGTGGGAGGAGTGGAGAAGGGGAGGAGATCCATTTCCTGCTTCTGGATTCTGTGGGCACTTCAATATTAGCCACCAAGAGGGACCCCAGTGCCCCTCCTCGCACTCAGCTGTGCCTCTCCATGGTGCTGGTACCAGCCCAGATGGCCCATCTCAGCTGTCCCAGTTCTCTTAATTCTCCTTGGGGCCTACCCAGCAGTGAGCAGACTTCCAGATCCTGGTAACATCGTCCTCCCACCAGCTCTGTGTTCCCCTAGCCCTAGAGGTCTGGGGGCGCTTTCCACAGTTACTAATTTATTAGGTATCTCACCATTTCCTTTGTGGCTCTTCCAGTTCTTCCAACACTTTTAGAACTAGTGTTCTATATTAAATTCCATCTTAAATATCTAATATATTTTCTGTTTTTTCCTGACTGGGTCCTGAATAACACAGTGAAATTATGCCAATTTCTTTTTTCTATTTTTTTATATTTTCTTCAGTGTGCCTGTATTGCTTTAAAAAAAAAA